TTTAAATTCTGTAAAATCTGTGGTAATGTCTCCTAGATCTTGATATTGTAATTTTAAAAATGTATAATTGATATTGTGTAATAGGAAGAAAAGGTCTAAAGGAGCAAGGGAAGTGGGAGGGGTAGGGGAAAGGAAAAAAGGGAAAAGAAAAAGTATGAGAAAAGGAAAAAAATGGAAACAAGGTCTTTGCAAATGGGGAAGGGTGGAGGGGATGAAGGGAGGGCAGGGGAAGGGGAGAAAAATAAGAACCAAGATACATCATGTAATGGTACAAGATCCCAATGATGAATGTAACTCTATTTTATACCTAAAATGTACCAATAAACTTAATGGGAAAAAAAAAGTTTAATGATGTTGATTACAAGAATAAAACGTATGTATATGGTAATTTTAAAAGCACTTTCAGGGGCCAGGGATTTAGCTCAGTGGTTCTGCCACCTGCCTCAAAAGGGCAAGGTCCCAAATTCGAAACCTGGTACCAAAAATAAATAAATAAAATAAAAAAGCACTTTCATATATATTGTCTTATTTAGGCACCATACTTAGTGAATTAGAAGTTGGGTGGTTAGAAGAATGAGACTAGGGAATTGTAGAGGAACATGCTGCTGGAGAACTTTCCTACCCACTGACAGCTGGAAGAAGTGACAGCCAGCCACAAAGGGAGGGAGAGAAATCTACACAGAAATGCAGTGTAATGTATACCTTCCCATGACAGCATGACATGACTTCTAGACCTCACCAGATCCTTCAGGCTATGTATTGAGAATTCCAACTGTATAATAAATGATGCTGATAAGGACTCTGCATCATTAAATAAAAGTTGATGTAGGCTTAGCACACTGTTTAAAAAGTGTGTTGGATTAAAGGAAGGAAATGTGTTTTACAAATATCTCTACCAGTTGGGTGTGGTGGCAAATGTCTATAGTCCCAGCTCCTCAGGAGGTGGGAGGATCCCTTAAATCCAGGAGTTGGAGGCTGGCCTGGCCAATATAGTGAGATGCCAGCTCAAAACAAAAAGGCAAATAAACCAATATATCAAAAATATTTTAAACTTTTTAAAAAAATTGTACCAAGGAAAGATTCTAGCCAGGTATGGTGGCACACACCTATAATCCCAGCTAATTGGGAGGCTGAGGCAGGAGGGTGAAAAGCTCGACATCATCCTGGACAACTTAGTAAGATTCTGTCTCAAAATAAAAAGGGCTGAGATGTACTTCAGTACTCCCTGGGTTCAATACTCTGTAGTGGGGGGGGGGTAGGAAAAAAAGATTCTAGTTAAAAAGTGATAATTACAGTACAACATACCAATTTCTCAAGATGTGGGTAGAGAGAGGGCAATCCTGGGGATTGAACCCAGGGCCACTCTACTACTGAACTATATTCTCAGCCCTTTTTATTTTTATTTTTAAGTTTTTAAAAGATAAGGTCTCACTATGTAGCCCAGGCTGCCCTTGAACTTGCATCTGCCTCGTCAGCCTTCAGAGTGCTGTTATTACTATGGCACTCAGCTCACATGATATTAGTAGCTTCCTTTGTTATCAAAATTATTATCATATTATTTTAGATGTGATTAACATACGTTTGATGACTGGCTGGCCGTCTAGTCACATTACAAACTCGGTATTTTCGTTTCATTTGTCCACAGTGGGTCACCTCAACTTTGAGACCTGAAGTTAAAAAAATAAAAGCCAAAATATCAGTTGTAATTAAAATCATAGTGGGCCTGGGGATTTAGCCCAGTGGTTCCGTTGCCTGCCTTGCAAGCACAAGGTCCTGAGTTCAATCCCCAGTACCACCCCCCAAATATAGTGACAAAAGCAGATTTGTTTTTTGTTTTGTTTTGGGGTTTTTTGGTGGAGACAGGGTCATGTTTTGTAGTTCAGGCTATCCTTGAGCTCACTATGTAGCCCAGCCTGGCCTCGAACTTATGGCAATCCTCTTGCCTCAGCCTCCTGAGTGCTGGGATTACACACATGTGCCACCATGCCTGGCTTGACAAAAGCAGATTTGACTGTTGTCTTCAAAGAGTCATGACCCTGTGTAAGTTAAAAGTTGCAAGAATATGGGAATAATTTCACCACTTATAGGTAAAAACAAAAATTTTAAAAAACCTTCAGCTAAGTAGAGTAAATTAGAACCCAGATAATCTGAGATGCTCAATGTACTTTAATATATTAATTCAGTCAATAAATATCTATTAAACATCAACTATGTTCTGATCTCTATTCTCAGGTTTATAGACAGCCCTCATGAAGCTTTTACTGTAGTAGGAAAAGATAGCTAATTATAAGAAAAGAAGAAATTCCAAAGGATAATAAATGAATTTGTGTTATCTTAGTAAAAGGGAAATTTTTAAATGGTAAAAGTAGCATTTACTGAGTTCCTGATATATGACAGGTACACTGCTAGAAAGCTTTATAAATTTAATTACATTTGATTCTCACAAGCTTTGGAAGGCATATGTCATCATCTTTACCTCTGAGGTGAGTAATCTGAATAAACTAACACTGAAACAGCAGCTAAGAAACTTGACCGAGGCTGGGACGGAGGCCCAGGTCTAACTGCAGAGCCCGGGTTACTTGTACCGTACTGAGCTGCCTCTCCAAGACTGCAAATACCCACCTCTGATTTCTTTGGTAAACTTGACACGCTGAGAATCTGTTAGAGGTTTGGTCTGTTCATTGATGTTCTGAATGTCTAAAACCTCACACATGAACTCAATGATGGGCTGAGCCCGGTAGAAAGCAGTCGCAGATACTAACCAACAGAGAAAAAGGATATTTAGCTTCAGGGAAAAGGGAAGGGCCCCAAACAAACAAAAAGCCAGGAGGCGATGGATAAAGAGAGTTCCTGCATACCATCGATATTAAGCATCATATTCCACATTGCAGGTCTCACAGACTGGTGAAAGCCAAACCAAACTTCTCTGCCCCCTCCCAGAGGGTGGTAGTAACCTTCGGGAGGTGAGAAAAAAGAACGGCCCACCGGAGTATACCTGAAGAATGAGAGTTCACCATGTTTCACAATAAAAACTTGAAAAGTTTTTCACTTCCCTCTCAACTTAGTGTACTGAAACCGAGTTTTAACTACGACTTAAGTAGCGACCTTTCAGCGGCTAACTACAACCAACCAAGAAGTCTGACATTTGTGGGAAAGAATCCAAACCAAAGTACTAACCTCATAGAGGGAAGGTGTCTTGTGATAACATCAAGTGCTTGTACTGAGTCGTCCGGGACTTCATTCAAGTGCCCAGCTAAAGCTTCTAAAAGCAACTGAAGGCTCACAACTGACACCCATTGAACAGACACTTTGAAGGTTTGGTCTTTACCCTCACCTGGGAGGGTCACCTCCATGTCAACCTACAGAAAAAAAATATATATACAAACATAAATATTTATAAAGGCTACAGGAAAGATCCCAAGAATATTCAATATGTATATATTTAAAGATATTTATTCTTTTCTGTCATTGCAAAACACTGGAAAATTATACAACTGTTAAAAATAAGACATCAAGGATTTGGCTGAGTGGTGCCGTTGCCTGCCTCACAAGCGCAAGGTCCTGAGTTTGATCCCTAGTACCAAAAACATAAAAATAAAAATAAGGCGGGCCAGGGATTTAGCTCAGTGGTTCTGGTGCCTGCGGTGTAAGCGCAAGGTCCTGAGTTCAATCCCCAGTACCAAAAAAAAATAATAATAATAAGACAGATGGTACAATCAAGATAAACCTTGAAAACAGTAAGACAAACATAAAAGGACAAATATTGAAGATTCTACTAGGTAATTTTTTGTTTGTTTGTTTTGTTTTTGGTACTGGCGATCGAACTCGGGTCCTTGCTATTGCGCAGCAGGCAGTGAAACCACTGAGCTAAATCCCCAGCCCTGAAGATTCTACTTATATGAGGTACCTAGAATAATCAAATTCATAGATACAAAAAGGAGAATAGTGGCTGCCCATGACCAGAGGCAGTGAGGTAGGGGGAGTTACTGCTTAATGAATCACAATTTCTGTTGGAGATGATGAAAAAGTTCTACAGGTGGTGGTAATGGTTGCACAACAATGTAGATGTATTTAATGCCAGTGAATTGTAGACTTAAAAATGGTTAAGCTGGGTGTGGTAGCATACTTCTGTAATCCCCACACTCTGGGAGACTGAGGCAAGAGGATCACAAATTTGAGCCCAGCCTGGCTTAGTGACTTAGTGAGACCCTGCATTAAAATAAAAAATAAAAAGTGCTGGGTGTGCAGATCAGTGTGAAGGCCCTGGGTTAAGTGCTCAGGATGAGTGGCGGGGGCGGGGTGGGAGGCACAGTTAAAATTAATCATGGGTGGTGATACATATCTGGAATCCCAGTTACTTGGGAGGCTGAGGCAGAAGGATCAGAAGTTTGAGCCAGCCTGGACAACTTATTGAAACCCTGCCTCAAAATAAAAATTTTTTTAAAAGGGCTGAGGAAGCCAGGCATGGTGGTGCATATTTATAATCCCAGCACTGGGGAGGCTGAGGCAGGAGTTCAAGACCAGCCTGGGATACACAGTGAGTTCAAAGTCAGCCTGAACTACATAGCAAGATCGTGACTCAAAAAGCCAAAAAAAAAAAAAAAAAATTCTGAGGATGTAGCACAGAGGTAGAGCACTTTACTAGCATGTGTGAGGCCTTGAGTTAAATCCCAAGTACTACAAAAGAAGAAAAAAAGAAAGTTTAAAATAGTCAATTTTAAATCATATATATTTTATCACAAAAAATTAATTTGTTGAGCTGGGGATTTAGCTCAGTGGTTCCGTTGCCTGCCCTGCAAGCACAAGGACCCAAGTTCGATCCCCAGTACCAAAAAAAAAAAAAAAAAAAAATTTAATTTGTGGTGTCACATGCCTGTATACCCAACACCCAGGAGACTGAGGCAGGAAGTTTGAAGCCAACCTGGATTACAATAGGAAATTCAATAGGGAGTTATGGACTCCATAACAAGACCCTGTCTCAAAAAAAAAAAAAAGGATGATATGCTATATACATATACATAAATGACCCTCATAAAATATCTAAAAATACACATACCAAACCATTAGAGTTGTTTTCTTTAAAAAAGAAAATGAGTACAATGCATCCCTAGTATGCATGAGTTGCTGGGTTCAAATCCCAGCTTAGGGGGGGCAATTTTTTTCTATCAATAAAGCTGAAACTTCCATTTAAAAAAAAATGAAATTAACTGATGCAAACAAATTGAAGAAATAATCCAAAGCATTTCCTGGTTATATGAATAAGTTTATAATGAGCATATATGCACAT